TTTAATACTTAACTAAGCATAATAATTAACATATAACAAAATTGTTTTTAACTATAATAAATAACATTAAGTATTTTAAATTATCTTTTTACTAAAAACAAATAAATTTTTTCTATAGTTTTGAAACCAATTTATTGTAATTGGAAAAATAAATTTTGATTTATGATAATTGTTTTATTTTATTTTTAAGTATAGAATTAATAATAGATGATTAGCCATTTTAATATTGGATTGAATTCGATACGATTTTGATTTTAAATGACAATTGTATTGACTAATTAAAACTGTTCCCTTTTTGTAATATAATTTATTAGATTTTGCTCATATTTTATCTCTTCCTTTATTTCACATTTTCATTTTAATAAAATGTCGTTTTTTTTAATTTATGTGGGGTTATTGTTTTTGTTTAATTCGTATTGGCTTTCTTAGTTTAAATTTAAATTCTTTTTTGATTCATAACTACGTTCATCCTTTCGCTTATATTTTTTTTATATAATTTGTATTTATTTTGTTTTAGTTGTGATTTTTTTATTTGTTGGCATGGCTGAGTTTTGTTAGATAATGGTTTGTTGCTGTTGTTTTTTTTTATGAAAAAATGCGAATTTGATTTTTTCAATTATTTTGATTAGGAGCTTATTTTGTGTTTATAGAGTTTTCATAAAAGTTTGGCACAGTTTTCATGTAGAGTCTCTGTGTGTGAGTGGGTGTTTTATGATGTGGGGTAAATTAAATTAAAAAATGGTTTGTGGACGTTGTTTTTTTTTTTTTTTTTGCAAAATAGAACCAAAATATTGTAGCCTTTTAATTATTTGTTTTTCAAGATCTTCAGCCGACCGAAATAACAGTGGGAACTTATATGGCGGCTATGTCATTACATGGATATATTTTGAAAATGCATTTTTTTAATCACCAACAACCCGTGATGCCATATTACATCCAATTCGTCAATGACCATCAAAATATTTTAATTGGCGTGAGGGCTATGTCAGAACGTGGACCTACATAAAACATATTCTTAAGAGATGTAACCGACCCACGCCCCCCCCCCCCCCCCCCAATTAATAATTTTAATTTTTCAATATTTTCTATGGGCTGGTATATTAATACCAATGCTTGTTAAGGTTTGTAACTTTGCACATATATATTTGAATATTTAAAAGAGAAGAAAAATAAATTACAAAAAAATTTTGTTATTGTTTTGTTGTTGTTTTTTGTAATTAAAGAGAAGTCCTTATTTTTGATGGCGGGCATGATAACTCCTCAATGGAACATCGGAATCCGAAAATTCCAACGGGCATTTGACTTCGCTCTAAAATTAACAAAATGGGGGACCTTTGAAAAATTTTTTTTGGAAAATCGCCGATTTTTTAACCAAAAACCAATTTAAAAAATAAGGAAGATCTTCGCCGATTGGCTTTATCCTAGTTCATACGATAACTATACACTCACAGAGAAATGTGTAAAAATTTGGAATCAATTGGGTTATTAGTTTTTGAGTTATCGTGCCCGCCATTCGCAAAAGAGAAAAACGCGTTTAAAGTTTGGGAAGCCCTTTAGCCGTCACTTGATGCTGATACAATAAATCGGCTATATCTTCAAGAGTTCTTGATATTTTGACTTGAAATTTTGTATGGACATTTTTGAATTAGTGTAGATTCGAAATTAATAAAAAAATTTGACCCTGAGAATGGGGGTCCCCTTAATAGAATTGTTTCACCATCCATTCACCATAATACGAAAGGACAAATTACATCGAAATTCTTAAAATGGGGCGGGGATTGTATTTGCGTATTATATGAAAACACTGACCTTGAAATGTAGACCTGTATTAAAATGTTTCTGAGAAGTTCTCAGGGTATCAAATTATCTATGCAAGCTATACCATATAAATCAATAGTTAGCTTTTGAGAATATTTATAGAAACACTCTCTGAGTCTAGTTATGTATGTCCGTCAGTCTATCCGTCTGTCAATGTATTATTTTAAACAAAGTGCAGGTAAAATATCTTGGAAACCACTTTGGTATAAACCAATTTGTATTGACTTTTTAACCCTACGGTCAATAACCAAAAAAGTATACGTAGATCAATAACCGTGGTACATTTGTACCCTTCTAAAGATAGCGCTGTAATTCATTAAAAAATTGGACTATCGTGCGGTTTTTTGTTTAAAATTAGTCTGTATGGATCTGATCTAGATATAGGAACTTAAAATTATATACACATGAAAATAATAAATATCTAAATCCATGCTTAAATTATACTCTATCTAAAACAATAAAAACAATTTCGTTGTAGCTTTCAAATGGCTTAAACTTTTTTAATTATTTTTTGATAGAGATCTTATTTAGGTGTTCTCCAACTCATCTGCAAATGTTTGTGGCCCTAGACAATACAGGTCCATTAAAGAGGTTCGTGGAAGTCAGGAACTACATTGATTTTACTTTGGTATGCATGGGCTTATACAGTTATTATTGTCGATTATTCACATTTTATGATTTTAGAGATGTGATTTGCGCATTTTTAAAATTATCATTTAATTTGTTTAATGTATATATAATTTAGAGTTTCTACATCTAGATCAGATCCGTACAGACTAATTTAAAAAAAGAAACCCCACGATAATAAATTTTTTATTTGTAATTTTATTATTTAGCGGGTCTAATGGACCCTGACTTTTGTGTGAAATATTACAAAATTTATATTGTATGGCGGTCATATTTACCCCTGAAGTACATAGACCCGAGAAGTTGATAGTACATGCAAAAAGAGTGGTTGACCTTTAAATTGATACCAATTATATTGTCGTATATACTCAGGTGTGGGAGTTACACTTAAATATTTACAGGTGCTTACGTATTTATATATTACTTAGTAACCCATTACCACACTAGAAGGCGGAAATATAGCGCTGATGCTTTGAAATTTTCCGTTATGGTCAACGACAACGTCTAGAATTTTCGCTGATGATCGGATAATAATTTTGGAATGAAGTGGACCGAAAACCTATTATTTTTTTGTGTTTTTGTTTTCGGGTCGATCTATAGGCCACAATTGAAAGCCCAACATCACAACATAACCCACGGTAAAGAGAATCTGGACAAGTACACCCCTCGTCTACTGAATATTAGAAATATTTGCTGACATCAAGTCGGTCAAGAGGGTGCAAATATCACGTAATATTGCCCAAACTCAGAATATAAAACCACAGAAAGTTAGATTTTCGTGGAAGTTGTGTAGGGTATCATATGGTCGGTCCGACTATACTGCTCCGCTCACTGGTTCGTTGTATAAAATGTATATGTATTACTGTAAGAGTTGGCCATCTGTTTTCTTCGATTCTGATTTGATTACCGGACAGAGGTAGCACGTTTGATATACCATTGCCTAACCTAACCTTGTATATATTAAAATCTGAAACAATTTAAAACATTTACATAGATTTGTTTATACAGAGCATAGTTCAATTATCATTCATTCAATTATACAAAATTATATATCGGAATTATATATCGAAATCTGAACCAATTTGAATCAACATGATGCATGTCATGTCCGAAGAAATTCTATTTAGATTTATTTAAATGTTAACCGATTTTAGCTCACGTCGGTCTTGCACCAAATTTTCTGTCAATAAAATACGGTGCATCTTGGGTGCTAATCTAAATCGTTGAAATTTTAGGATAGTAAGTAATAGTGCAATATCAGAATCTGAACCTATTTCACCCATTTCAATAAGGCTCGTCTGAGTCAAAAAAAAAAGATGGGCTAAACTTCATTAATGTTGTATAATAAGTGAAACCCTAGTATAAAAATATCTATATATTGTAAACTTATATATGTCACAAAAAATGCATACTAAAACCATTATCAAAGACATAGAAACCGTAAAGACTTGACAAAATGCATTTCGACAAAATAGTTTATGAAAAAATATCCAGGGGGAATCGGGCATAACAGAGGCATGTTAACAATAAAAACGCAAATACGCGATAATGTGTGTATAAAATGTAAATAAAATTAGAGATCTGTACTCAAAAAATATATTTTTATTTTATAAGCTTGCGATATAGGGTTTAAAACGATTAATATTGTTTGCTCTGTTGTTATGATATCGTAACAACAGAGGAAAAGCCATCTATTGGAAATTGTTGACGTATCGATTGTCGTATCTTTATACTTTTATGTCTTTGTCATTATATCCTCAGAATATAAACGTATTGGAAATATCTGAATCAAAACATCACATATACAATTTATATTAGATCCCTAACACTCAAACAGTATTTTTTAAACATGACATAAATACGATAATTTTCATTTCATAAACAAAACAAGTTCACCAAGAATTAAAACAGCAACAAAACGTCCACAACAAATTCTGATTGAATGTATACAGCAATCATAAATAATTAATGTTTCGGCATACTCTAATGTTCGCAATATGATAGTGTGTGAACAGCATTGTATTTGATTGTGTTTGTGTTTGAATAATTAATGAGTGTAGTGGTGTGGTCGGTTATTGTTTACAGCTTTTATTGAGTTTTGTTATCCTTGTATTGCCTGTTTTGTGAAATCGTAAGTTCTGGAGGGGTCTTGTTGTTATTTTTTTAATATTATTGTTTTTTTCTGACTTCTCTTATTCTTCTCTTTTTCGCTATTTTTTAAAAGGGAATCGTGTTTTCATCCATTCATTTATTATTAGGGATAATCAAGTTATGTTCTTTTGTAGGGAATTATGGAGGAAATTTAGAAGAATGGTTTCAACCGGGGAGTGGACTATTATGTTCATCTGTATACATAAGTAAATGCCATCTTATTTGTATTTATTGTTGTTGTTTCTGTATTTGGGTACATCTCAAATATTTGCACTGACTGACTGACACTAACATTTTATATTTTTCTTTTTTTTATTTCTTGCTACAACATCGCTCGCTTGCTGCTTCGCTCTCTCCCTCTTTTATTTCCTGGTTCCGACTGTTCGAATTCCTCAACCGAAATTTTACATAGCTGCAGTAACAATGCCATTGGTCTCATGATTTACATTGTTCACATTGTTGCTTGTTGTCGGTATGGGACCCATACCCGCCATCATCGATGCAGCTCCAGCCACTGTCGATGGTACAATTACTGGTGCGGGAACCGCTTCACGGTCAGCAATGGCCTGGGCTGTATTGGCGGCGGTTTTTATTGTATCAGCATCGTTCGACTTGAGGAAATACGTTATCAGATCAATTGGCAACGGGAATACAATGGTTGAATTCTTCTCAGCCGAAATGGCACTCAATGTCTGCAAAAAAGATAACAGAACAGTTCATCAAATTCGGCCACATAACAAATGGCAATATTTCATTCCGCCATTCACTTACCTGGAGATAACGTAGCTGTAATGCTGCCGGTGAATCGCCAATAACTTCGGAGGCTTCCCTCAATGCTCTTGAGGCTTTCTGTTCACCTTCGGCGGCAATAACTTTGGCACGAGCTTCTCGTGCTGCCTCTGCCTCGGCAGCCATGGCTCTTTGTAATTGGACGGGTAGACGTACATCTTTACTGTGGGGATGAGAAGGGAGAAAGAAAAAAAAAATGAGACAAGACAATGTTAATGTTCTTCAGCATGGCAAGGGTGTTACAATAAAAAAGAATGCCAATTTTTCTTCGGAAGTTAAGTGCTGTTAAATATGTCCTTAAGGATATTAAAAATGAAATATATATATATATATATTTTTTTGAACAGTGAAGGGAAAACATTATAAGTTGTAAATGTATAAAAAAAAAATGTTAATATTAAATTCTAAATAATAAAGTAAAAAATAAAAAAATTAGAATTACACAAAAGTACCGAAAAATGTTTCTCTTTTTTACTGCCCATGATAGTGTTCGCAATATTTTGAGATTTATCATTAAACTTTTGCACAAACATTGCAGTTCCACGTTGAATGCTTGATATTGGAAATGACTTATTGCGGTCCACTTTTTTATGGTCTTCTTGGAGGGTACGCCATTTGTGCATGTTTCGACCTATCCTGTTATAAGGGTTACACGAACATTTTCGATATTATTAAGGTCCGATGTACATTTTCCAACCGACGTGGCTATAGTTACTCCGATTGAGGCATGGGAGTGGTTTCAACGGAAATCGTTGACCTCGCATGTTTTTCTTTATGTGCGGGAATGAAAATACATACGTTAACTGGCTTTAACCGATATATGAGAGATCGTATTGTCAGGGTGTGCAATAATTATACCCTACCCAACTATGTTGTCAGGGTATTATAGCTTTGTGCAGCCCCAAAAGTTTGTAACGGCGCGAAATATTGGTCCTAGACCCACCTTTAAGTATATCGATCGTCATATCTCGACTAGCTGAGTCGATCTAGACATGTGTGTCCGTCCGTCTGTCCATTATAATTTGTAAACACGATGCAGGCAACAGTTATGGACCAATCTTCACGAAATTTTGCATGTAGGATGGGTTCTGGCCAATGAAAATCCCTATTGTTTTTGGGAAAGATCGGTTAATATTTAGGGGATGAAATGGACAAATACTAAATTTTTATCGGTTTTTCTGGTCGCTCCAGAGGCCGCAATAATGGCCCGAACATCGTGAAATTTAGCATGGAGAAGGGGATCGGGCCAAAGAATAAGCATGCCTGTTTTGATAAAGATCGGTCAATAATTAGCGGGTCAAATGGGCCCTGACTTTTGTGTGAAAAATTACAAAATTTGTATTCTATAGCGTATATATTTACCCCTGAAGCACATAGACCCGAGAAGTTGATATTATATCCAAGAACAGAGGTTGACCTTTACATTAATACCAATTATAGTGTTGTATGTACTCGGATGTGCGAGCTACACTTAAATATTTACAGGTGCTTACGTTTTCAAATATTATTTAGTAACCCATTACCACACTAGAGGGCGGAAACCGATGATCGCTATGAAATGTTCCGTGAGGTTCCGATTGAGATCAAGGACAATGCCTATATTTTTCGGTGATGATCTGATAATAATATTGGGATGAAGTGCATCGAAAACTTATTTTTTGTGTTTTTTTCGAGTCGATCTATAGGCCACAATTGAAAGCCGAACATTACAACATAACCCACGGTGAAGGAAATCTGCACAAGTAATTAGAGGGGGCTGTACTGAATATTAGTAATAATAATAATTGTTGACCTCTAGTCGGTCAAGAGGGTTCGAGGTATTGCCCAAGCTCAGAATGTAGTACCACAGGAAGTTACATTTTCGTGGAAGTTGTGTAGCGTATCATATGGTCGGCCCCGTCCGACTATACTGCTGCGCTCACTGGTTTGTCCTGTACTTTTTTCGAATTTTTCCCAAGAAATTCATCAAAAAATTTTGATATACAACTCACAATTTTTCATCAAATTTGATATTCTGTTTGCAAAATTTCGCCGCCAGCTTATTAAATATAAGAGCTTCGGAATTATGCACATTGTTTGCCACTATTTGTTCAGTAATGAAATTTGGATAACGTTAAATTTTTATACCCTTCACCACACGATTTATGCATGTCCGTCCATCTGTTAGTGTTAAATTGTAAACAAAGTACAGGTCGCATTTATAATCCGATTTGGATGAAATTTGACACAGCTCATTTGTTCGGCCCAAGGAAGAACCCTATTGAAATTTGGGAAATTCGGTTCAGATTTAGATATAGCTCCCATATATATATATATATATATATTCGTCCGATGTAAGGTAAATGATGCACCAAAGTCTCTATATATATTTCGATTTGCACGAACATTGGCACAGCGTAATGAAATAAGCCTAGAATGATGTGTGGAAAGTTTTGTGAAAACCGGTTCAGATTTCGATATAGCTCCCATATATATTTTCGTCCTATTTCAGGTAAATGGGGTACCAAAGTGTCTATATATCTTTCGATTTGCACAAAATTTGGCACTGCGTACTGAACTAAGCCTAGAATGATGTGTGCTAAGTTTCGTAAAAATCGGTTCAGATTTAGATATAGCTCCCATATATATTTTCGTCCGATTTTCGGTATATGGTGCACCAAAGTAGCTATATATCTTTCGATTTACATGGAATTTGGCACAACGTAATGAATTAAGCTTAGAATGATCTGTGCTAAGTTTCGTGAAAATCGGTTAAGATTTAAATATAGCTCCCATATATATTTTCGTCCGATTTCAGCTAAATGGTGTACCAAAGTCCCCATATATCTTTCGATTTGCATGAAGTTTGGCACAGCGTAATTAATTATGCATAGAATGATCTGTGATAAGTTTCGTGAAAATCGGTTCAGATTTAGATATAGCTCCAATATATATTTTCGTCCGATTTCAGGTAAATGGTGTACCAAAGTACCTATATATCATTCGATTTGCATGGAATTTGGCACAACGTAATGAATTAAGCCTAGAATTATGTGTGCTAAGTTTAGTGAAAATCGGTTAAGATTTAGATATAGCTCCCATATAAATTTTCGTCCGATTTCAGCTAAATGGTGTACCAAAGTCCCTATATATCCTTCGATTTTCAAGAAATTTGGCAGAACGTAATGAATTAAGTATAGAATGATCTGTGCTAAGTTTCGTGAAAATCGGTTCAGATTTAGATACAGCTCCCATATGCAGCATACCGAATAGCGTGTGTAAAATTTGCTTTAAATCTATTTACGAAATTTAGAATAGGGTGCTGAATGACATGTGTTGGGATTGATGTTAGACTTTAGATTTACTTATAGATAAATATCGCATATTTATGTTCGTTCAATTTCATGAAATGTTCCTTCGAAATGGCGACGTCTGAAGTGTATCATATAGTCGACCGAGTCCGACTTTACTACTTTCCTTACTGGTTTTATTTTTATTATTAAATATATTTTTGTTTTGTGTTTGTATATAAGAGATTTGTTCACAAAATATGTTAATATTGATCCATGTTCTGATAGGACCTCCATATTAAGCCACGTCGCATATATTGAAGGTCATAGCCAAATTTTCTGAACGCAATGCCTGTTATTCAGTACCTCGTTTTTTCAAAGATTAAAAACCCTAATAAGTCTATGTTTGACGTTACTCCATCTAAAGTTCCCGAGCACTTTCCTATCGATATTTCTATGATTTCAATTCAAAAATTCCACACATAAAGGTCCAGATACATTCTCGGTTTGTTAAATATCCTTATCGTGTTTCAATTGTTTGTATTTTGTTAATTCGTTTTTTACAGGGGATACATAAGAATCCAATAAAAATCCACCAACAAATCTACAACGATTTTATATTAGTCCTAAAAACCCGGTACTGAATACACAAAGGCATTCAAATACATTCATACATTTCAACATTATTTTATATTTATTTTTTTTCTTGTTTGGATTTGGTTCGGCTCAAGGTTAAATAAAATTCTGTATTATGATTTTTGATTTTTTTTATTTTTATTTTCCAATATTTCGACTGTCTTCGACAGTCATCTTCAGGGAAATACTAAAAGATACAATTATTTAATAAGGTTTTCACAGAATAATATAACACAAATATTACGTTTTGAGAGAAGCTACAGGTTTGTTACACCGTCTATGCTAAACTAAACTCTAATTCGTCTGTGCTTATGAACTAAATTTCTATACATATGTGCACAGTGGTCCGTGTCAGTCTTGTAATTCATTCTCTTCTCTTGTGGTACATTTATTATATTAAGCATTTCTAAAGTAAATCGTCGTTTGTAATTGTTTTCTTGTGTCAAAATATCAACGTCTTTGAAATTTGGTGTATGCCCCGTGATTGTGCAATGTGCTGCAAGAGCCGTCTTTTGTTCTAATGGCTTGTCTGTATTTTGATCTGACTTATGACCAGAAAGTCTTGTTTTAGTTTGGTTTTTGTTGTACCAACATATACCTTTTGGCATAAGTTGGATTTGTCCCCGTTACATTTTATCTTATATACTACATTGCACTTGTCTTCTTTTTTTATTTTCGATTTTGTCTTGCTAAATAGGCTATTGATATTATTTTTAGATTTTAGGGCTAGTTGATAATTGGTTTTGTCATAGATATTTGAATTGCTCAATCTCTCGGAAAGTCCTGGTATATATGTCATTTACTTGTACGATTTTTCTTCTTTTTCAATTTTAGCTTTATTTTTCGACTTGCAGGATTGTAGTAGTTCGTCAATTGTTTTTAATGGGAAATCATTTTATGTTTAATACCCTGTTTATAAAGTTTGTGGCCGCATTTATTTTTATGCGTCTGGGGTGTTTAGAATAGAAATTTATTAATCGTCCAGATGCAGTGGGTTTTTGGTACCAATCTATTGTTAATTTTTGGCCTTGTCGAATTATCATTGCGTCAAGATAAGGTAATTTTTGGTTTTCTTCTATTTCGTGTGTAAATTGTACATGTTTATCAAATGAGTTGAGGATGTTTAAAGTGTTGTCTATTTCCGTTCTTTTTACAATGCAGAAAATATCGTCCACATATTTCGTAAGAACTTTTGGTTTGTGTGTCAATTTCTCCATTGTAGCGTCCAATAACTCCTCCATTACTATGTCTGCAATAA